GTGGAGTCACAGCATCCTTCCTTGAAACAAAAACAAACCCCCACTCCACAACTTTAGAACATTTAAAATGATTTGATAAGTAAAGTTCATTTTGTACCTAGCTTTGTCAGTAGTGCTCAGATGATGGGAATATACCCATAGGGTTCCGTAAGAGCATCACATACCTGGGGATGCTTTTACTCTAAGCCCGAGGTACTCAACAAATTCAATTTACTGTTCCAGCATAGGAGGATTGTATGTATTTTTCTCCTACTCCTATGGCTCTTTGTGCTAATTTTTCCTACCTTGCCTTTAGCTATCCTAGTGGTAATGTGTGAAATTGTTTTCTACTTGAATAAAATCCAACCTTCCCCCAGAGTTTAGGTGCTAAGCCTATGGGGGCGGTGTGCTCATTCTATTTTATTGTTGTTGTTGTACAAATTATGATGCTGTTTATTGAAACAAATGCAGCTCTACTTCTAAAAACATAATGGAATTTTTTTCATTTATGGGGTTGTATAAGTTAAATACTATGAAATTGTTATGTATAAAAGTGTTTTGGAACTCATCCTTTATTATTTAGCCAGGCAATTTCCTTATTTTAAAAATTAAATGCAGGACGCCTGGGTGGCTGAATCGGTTGAGCGTCTGCCTTCAGCTCAGGTGGTGATCCCAGGTACCCAGGATCGAGTCTCGTATTGACCTCCTTGCCCAGTGAGGAGCTTGCTTCTCCCTCTGCCTGCCACTCCTCCTGCTTGTGTTCTCTCTCTAAAATCTTAAAAAAAAAAAATTAGCAAATGCATTCAGCCTGTTGCTGCCTTTCAAGCTCTTAACACAAGTGTATAAAATACAAAAGGGACTCAGTGACTGAGAGAATCTTATAAAGTTTTGGCTCGTGGTGAAATTAGAATTTTTTTGGTAACTATCACTGATGGAGCCATTGGGTTATATATTTACAAATTAACTTGTGAATTGCTTACGCTTACTATTCCCATTCATTGATGTGTTTACATTTATAATATTGATGCTGCATTAATGCTGTTTTGCTTAATTTCACTTCATTATGAGTTTAACATATTCAGCTACTTTGTGTGTGGTGTGTGGAGTCGGCATGTGTTTAACCTCAGGAATTGATCTCTGTGGAGAAGTTACAGCAATGAAGTAGTGATTCAGAGGACAGGGGGAGGAACCAATCCCAATTCTTAAATTTTTGGTCTAATTTTTTAAAACCAATATCAAGAATTGGGATACTGAGGCACACAGAGTCACTCACTTTGGGACCTCTAATCACGCGGAGACAATTGTGTATTTCTCAGTTATTTCCAAAGTAAAGGAGTATTTATGTGGTCGAGTTGGGTGCCCTTTTCTCTGCTGCTGTAATTCATTGTCCATACCTCTTGTTAAGTTTTTTGTTTTTTATATCCATATAGAATTGCTTCTTTATATGCTTGTCTCTGTCACTGGATTGTTACTCAGCTTGAGTTGAATATAGCTTTTTAAAATTATAAACATTTGATGGAGTATCATTTCTGTTCTTCGTTTTATGTATCTGGGATTCTATCTGGTGTCATTTCTTTTTTCATCCTGAAAAACTTGTTTTGACCTGTTTTGGAGTATAGGTCTGATGGAGACTGAGTCTCTCAAGTTTTAGTTGTCTAAAAGTGTTACATTCTGCTTCTATTTTCGAAAGGTATTTTTACTGGTTATAGAATCCCATGATGACTGTCGTTTTCTTCCCAGGACTTTTAAAGATGCCCTTCCATTGTCTTTTGTTGTAGTTTCTGGTGAGAAATGAGTTATTTGTGTCATTTTTATCTTGTATATAATGTGTCTTCATATGTCTGGCTGTGCTTTTATGGTTTGCCCTTTGCTTGGGATTTTCAGCAGCTTGACTGGGGGTAGCTAGGTGTGGGCTTGTTTGTCTGGGTATTCTTCCTCCATGGCTGTGCTTCTGGTAGTCATGAACCCATTTCTAGAAAATCAATTATTTCAGTCATTATCTCCTGAAATAGATTTCCAATATCCTTTTCTTTTTCTCGTCCTGAGTTACGCTTGTATTACAGTGCTTCACACTGTACCACAGCCCTGGGGTTCTTGGTTCTTTCATTTTTCTTTCTCTTCTTCCGTGGTGTTTGAGTTTGCATGCTTTTTGTTGGGTTTAGGTTCACCAGTTCATTTCTCAGCAGTGTTCTGGTTACCCTGAAGTTCATCTAATGAATTTTTTGTTGATACATCTTAAATTTCTAACATGTTCTTAAGATTTTATTTATTTGTCAGAGAGAGAGAGAGAGCGAGCGAGCGCGCGTATGCAAAGCAGGCAGAGGCGGAGAGAGAAGCAGGCTCCCTGTCGAGCAAGGAGCCCAATGTGGAACTCGATCTCAGGACCCTGGGATCATGACCTGAGCCGAAGGCATCGGCTTAACCAATTGAGCCACCCAGGCGTCCCTCTAACATGCTCTTAAAAATGATTTCCATGACTTTATAAATTGCCCATCTCCTACATTGTGTCTGCTTTTTATTATGTCCTTCAGAATTTTTTCAAGATTTATTTATTTATTTGACAGAGCCAGAGAAAGAGAGTGAGAGAGGGAGACAGCAAGAGCAGGAATACAAGTAGGGGGAGTGAAAGAGGGACAAGCAGTCTTCCCGCCTAGCAGGCTTTGATCCCAGGACTCTAGGATCATGACCTGAGTCCAAGGCAGACACTTAACGACTGAGCCTCCCAGGTGCCCCCTGTAGCATTTTTATAAATATCTTTTGAGATGGTGTGACCCATGAGTCCATCATCCAGGCCATCTCTAGGTCTGCTTCTCTTTGACTCTGGGTGACACTTTCTTGGTCCTTAGCGAATTCATCAGTAGTTGATTATATGGTAGACATTTTATTTGGATACTGTGGACATAATCCTTCTAAGAAAGGGAGTGCCTTTCTTTAGGCTGCTAAAGTGGGGGGGGGGAACTGAGTCCATGGGGTGTCTTGTTGAGCCGGGCTTGGCAGAGCTGCCTTAATTTGAGTAGTGTCCTCTGGGCCTTCAAGGTTGTTTAGAACGAATGAGGCTCTGGTACTCTGCTTTTAGCTTGATGACTGAACTATTCATTTTCAAGACTGGGATAACTCTTTCTGCTTTAAAGTTCAGATGCCCTTTTCAGGGTTAATGTAAAGTTCTTTGTGTTTTCAGTTTCTTCAGGAGATACCTTGCTAACTTGGTGTCTGCCCCTGGCCTTCAGGTGGTAGCTGTCATTTACTCGCTGAACATCCAGAATATCTTTTGGAGGCTTCTCTCCCATCTTTTGCTTAGTTCAGAGTGTTTGGGAGGACAGTCTCTTTACCTAGGGAGAGGCCTCCTAGGACACTTCATGCCTGGAGATATCTTGCCCTCCCTCCAGCTTTTGGCAGACTAACTCATGCACTTGGTGAAGGCCTGAGGGAAAGCCTTGGTAAGTGGGTGTAGACTTGCTCCATGACTGGGGCTCCATGGAATTCCAGTTTCTCATGCCAGAACCCATGCTGTCAATAGTTCATTAAAAATTTGGCTTTTTTTTTAAATCCTTGTTTAACTTCTTAGTCTGTAACTGTCAGGGATCAAAGCAGCTTGTCACTTCCTAGTAGTCCTTCCAGGTTTCCTTATGTCCTCAGCTGCCTGATGGGTTGAAAACAACACTAACTGTAATTTGGGAGGTTTTCTGGCTTGTTTTTGTTATGAGGATGAGAACAGTGGTGGTATTTTGTGACTACTTTCTAAATCCTGCTGGAAGCTGTCCTATTCTTAGGACTTTCATGATTAGGTCCTGTTAGACGGACCATGTGTGAATATAGTACATGGCATTTTTTTCTAGGCTTTGTATTCACAGTGAATTTGAAGATCTGTTTTGAAAGCTAAATATCTTTGCATCTTACTTAAAGAAATCCTATTTCTTTTGTGAACTAATACTGCGACTTTTTGTCCTTTTAAATTCAGTATTTTGTATCCCATTTCTCTACTGGGCTATACTAGCGCTATCCAATAGAATTTTCTGTTGGAAATGCTCTTCATGTGCTTTGACCAATATGAGGGCCAACAGCCACATGTGGCTCTTGAGGGCTTGACATGTGGTTGGTGCAACTAAGAAACTGAACTTATAATTTACATTTAAACAACCATACATGGCTAGTGGCTACCATGAATAGCACAAGTCGATAGATTATATACATTATGGCAAAAACAGTGTAAGATATAGTTACACTGAACAATTCACGGAACCATTGTGGTTTCTGAACACACTTCTGTTAACTACTTTAAGACCTTCTTTGCCTTTTTGATACCACTTCAAACTTTGAGTCTGGGTTTTATGTGAGGAACAGAATTTGTGAAATCAAGCAATTTCCAAAGAATAAATAATTAGCTTTATAAAGTAATATCTACATACTTGCAAATATCAGTGAACTATTTGATTTAATATAAGAAATCTCATAGCAGCAAAATCCCCAGCTTTATCTCCTGAGGCTTTAGCCATCCTACTCTATAGTTGCTCGTGAAATTCAAACACGGACCAGCCTGAATGAAGAGAAATGTGTTATTTATCACACCAACAAGCTCTAGAGCTATAAGCAGAATTCAACTCTTAGTGCATATTATGAAATGTGATTGAGGAATTCTGTGAAAAGGGCCCTGGGCAAGGGGGCTGGGAGTTAGGACACGAAATACTGGTTTGATTGCCCACCCCCAAATTAGCACAGTTACCTTTGTAAAACTGTTTAGTTTGCTAATCTGTAAAGCAAAGGTCACCTGCCATTAGAATCTTAATTCTGTAATTTAAAATTAGAAGGAATCTTTGGAGGTTGCCTGATCTCTTTTCTGTCCTTAGACAAGATGATTATGGAACACTTTTGTGTTTTAAAAGATCTTAAAGATTCTAGTGCTGAATGCCTTCTGATGAAATCAGTGATAATGGGATTGACCCTGTTGGGGGGGGGATTATTTTGGCAACTAGATACACGTTGTTGGAGGAAATATTAACGCATGTGCTACTTTGCCTTTGTAGCTGGACAAATTTGCCAGCATAAGAATTCCAGGGAGCAAGAAGGAGAGACCTCCGCTTTCCAACCTGAAGACTGCGTTTGCAAGCAATGATTGCTCTTCCGAGGTGATGGAAAATATTCCAAAGCCACTGTCACAGAATGAAGTCTTAGAACTTTTTGAAAAGATGATGGTAAGAATTTTTTTTTTTCCCATAAAATGGTTGATGAAAAAAACCTTACCTTGTTAATGGACCAATGAACATTTAAGGCTTGTGTTCCATATATGATTTCTGATGTCCTTGAAGATAGCAATTTAGGCATACAGAGCTTTAGGATTACCAAAAAAAAAAAAAAAAAAAGAGGAAAATTGGCACACTACGTTGTTTTGTGTGTGTGTGTGTGTGTGTGTGTGTGTGTGTGTGTGTGTGTAATATACAGAATATATAAAAACCCTCTCAAGTATCATAATGGTACATTTTGAATCTTAAAGATTATCTAAGTGGTCTATTAGGGTTTGTTTGCATTTTAGAATGATCATCACAGTGCTGTGTATGCGTATGCTGATTTTGTTCATCTTTTTTTCTTGTTTGATTCCTTTCTTAGTTCTCAGGATAACCAGGTTCATAGAGTCCCAGAACATTTATATCTGAGGAGACTAGAACTTACTTATTTTGGGGTGTGTCTTTTCTGGTGGAGACAGTGCTGTAGAAGCTGCCTTTGGTTGGTTCCAATAAATGGTGATCCTGACTCTGCTCATGGGTAAACTAATTTGACCAAAAACCCACTGTGTTAAGTACGTTCAAAATAATTTATCACAAAATGAATGCTAATTGCATCTAAATAGTTTTTCATATAGTTCTTACCCTCAAGTTGCTTATCTTGGAGGAATCAAAATAAACATTTTGAAGAATTAAATGAGTAAGAAATGCCAGAGGGTTCTAATTAATGGTTAAGTTCCGTGTAAGTCAGAGTAGGAAGAAATTAATTTTTGAGATACCTCATTAGCTTCAGGGGAAGCGAAAATTGAAAGGTTATTATAGCAGCTTAGGAAAATTTCATGGAGCAGATGGACTTAGAGGCAGGTGTGGCCTTATAGGGTTGGAATAAGCAGAGGGAAAGGGCATTCTCTTAAGATGGGGAAATGACAGTGAACCAAGACAGAGCGAGGTACAAATAGCTCAGGGGGAATGTGTGAGAGGTTTGAAAAATTAGACTGGAGTGATAATTTAGGGCCGATTATGAGAGGATTTTTTTATACCATTTTGAAGAGTTGTGTAATATTTCAACTCAGGATTTATTTTCTCTATTCCTCTATTGTTTTTGACAGCCTTATTAGTTTTTAGGGAAATTGACTTATTTAGTGTATAAAATGTATTTGAAATTTGAGAAAGTTAATAGCTGGTTTCCTCATTATTCAACTGGGATCAACAAAATATTTACCCTTATATTGCCTTATTTTCTATTCATCAAATATTTGTGTTCAGTGTTATACATGGAGCTTTAGAAGGCCCAGAAAGAGAGAATGCCTAGTTTGTGTCTCCATAGGATTAATTAGTGTTAGTGATTCCTAACTTTTCATCACTGAGCATATGTTAGTATTGTTTTGCATGAGCCCTAGACTTGGGACATTCTTACCTATTATGTCAGCTCTTGATGAAGGACTAATTTTGTTTTTAATTAACCACATATGTATAACTCCTTATTAACTCTTTTGTCTCCATGAGTTGGTATCATTTTAGCCTTGAACAAAAAACCTTTTCTTTCCCCCCAGTTTTAGCGTATGTGCCACCAAAGGGAGGACTTTTGTTTTTGTTTTATATTTTGCTGGCCTTTGCCTCTGTTAATGAGGCTTGTATAATTATAGTTCTCTTCAATAGCACGTTGGAGGACTCAAGATAATAAAGTGCCCTTAGCTCCCTTCTCATTCCATGTACTATATGTGGAACCACTGACCTGAATTACCTAGGGGATTCTAGAATGGTACTACTTTCATTTCCTGGTGACTACTTTGTTAAGATGTTTTTCTTTTTGATCATGATTGCTAGTGGCATCTGAGTATGAGTGAGTAGGCTATTAATGTAAGGTGTTTACGAGGCCACATCTTAACACCACAAGCCATTAAAAGTATAGCTACCGGGAGTACTGAATACAGTTCACGGTATTCTGTACTGACTGTGATTACTGGAGGTATTTTTCAGTTACTGTGAAAAGGGTCAGTTACCCAGAGAAGGGTAAGACTTTCAGTGTTTGTAGTTATGAATAGGGCAGAAGGATATTGACATTTCTGAAGTGTTTACACAATACATATTTAATAACTGGGCCCGATCACTTGTTAAATCTAAACAGGTATCCTTGTTGGCAGAAAATCATTTGCAATCAAACTCATTTTACTCAGCAGCAGTAAAATGAAATTTTTGATGGGTCAGAGCTGCCCAGTTTGCTAAGTGAGTTTGTGAGAACTAAGGTCTTGTTTTAAAAAAAAAAAATAAAAAGGAATTAGGTTCTTCTTCCCTTTCTGATTGCTTGACTGACAATACATTGTAGGGGAAAATCCACTGATGGTTCTGGAGTTGAGGAAGTTCTCTTCCCTTCCCTAAATGTAGATGAGTGATATCTGTCAGGCTTTACAGGGTGCTTCATTTTTGACAAATTTAAAGCTGGTCTATGTCTGTAGAGAACGCTAGATGAAGCGTTGAGTTTGAATTCTTTTATTTTTACTTACATATCTAGTACTTCTTAAAATTTTTAACTTTTATTTGTTTAGTGAGTGGAAGAGTGAGAGAGCAGGGGAGGGGCAGAAGATGGAGGGACAGAGAGAATCTTGAGCAGACTCCCTGCTGAGTGCGGAGTCCCACAATATGTGACCCTGCGATCATGACCTCAGCGGAAATCAAGAGTTGTCACTTAACCAACTGCGCCATCTAGGCACTCCTGTCCATCGTACCTCTGTCCTTTCGAAGAAGCCTCATCAAATCTGCAATCTTAACGTCTTGGCATTTGCCGCTACAGGGATTTTCTATCATTTAAAATTTACATCTAAATTCCTAGTTTTGATATTGTGCAATTTTTAAAAACTTATTTAACTTTATCAAAGGTATTGAAGTAATTTTTACATAAAGTAAAAACTGTTCTTACAGAACCTTTTTTTTTTTTTTTTAAATAGTCTTCAGTGTGCTGACTTGATAGTGAGAGTTAAGGGTATAATGTTTGAATATTTGTAATCCTTTCATGTTTATTTTAGAGATGGATTTACTTGGTCTCTGGGAAATAGTTTATTGGGTTTTTCGGTCGAGGTTGGGTCGAGCCTTATTTTTTTAAGCAGTGATGAATGTTGAGACTACTTAAGGGCTCTTTTTCCCATTTGTCTTTTGGTAAAAGTGGAATTGTTATCCGAAAGCCCCTATTGGTTTCTGTGTGGATCTAGCTTTGTGAAATAGCTATGTGAACATCTTGTATATACAACTTTGATTTCTGGAAGTCAAGTTTCAGTGCTTACTATTGGACTCACCGTAGGTCTATGTTAACTGGTTTTTGAATGATTTGAGCATGGTAGATACAAGCTGAAAGTGACTTGATCATTGTAGCTGTTGCCTCTTTGTATCAGCCCCCTTGGCTTATTCTTGTGCTCCTGGTGAAATCCCAGGTGGGTCTCAGACTTTCTTTTGGCTTTGAGATTAAACAGAAAAAAATTATAAAATAATTTTGATCTAAAAAATAGCTCTCCCTTTCCCCCCTTACAGGCTGGCTTTACTTCAGGTCTCTAGTTGGGGCAGTGGTTAGGGAGTGAGCTTGGCCTCTTTTGTTTCTCTACCTTACTTGGCTGTGCTCTACTCTCCAGACTGCCAACTATTTCCTCCAGGACTACATGGGAGGTGAGGAGAGAAGGAATAAGAGTTTGCTTCTGGTCTAGGGTGTTTATAATCTGTCCTTGGTGCTCTGGGTGATGTTGGTTTTTATTGCTGCTGTAACAAATTACCATGGTTTTTGATGGCTTAAACGCCAACATACTGTCTCCTAGTTCTGCAAGTCAAAGTCCAGGTTGACTCACCTGGTTTCTCAGGTTTCACAAGGTTAAAATCTATGTCCAAATGGCTGGGATCTTACCGGATGCTTTGGGAAGAACCTCTTCCAAGTTCATGGTGGCAGAATCCAGTTCCTCGCTGTTGTAGGACTGAGGTCCTGGTTGTCCTCTGGCGGCTGCCTTAGCTCCCAAAGGCCTCTTTCCTATCGTTTGTGTGGGCCCCTACCTCTCTGTTATATGAAATCCATCTCCTGTTTAAAATTTCTATGCCTTCTCCTCCTGTGGCATCTCTTGTCTCCCTCTACAGAAAGTTCTCTGCTTTGAAGGACTCCTGTATTAGATTAGGCTCACCCAGATGACCCAGTATAGTATTGCAGAGTCCCCTTCTAACAGGTAATGTAACTCATTTATAGGACCAGAGATTAGGGCATGGACGTGGGGAACTGTTCTGCCTTTTACAGGTGTAGGAAATTACAGATGCTGATTCTTTTCTTCTGTAGCATTTTTGTGCTCCCTGGTGCCCAGTCTCACCCGCAGTTCCCTTGTCACTGTCATTGGTGATGTATCCTTTGGTCTTCTGCCCTGGTTTTCCGTGAGCCTGTTCCTCTGCAGGAGTCGCCTTCTGGATGCAGGACCTCTCAGAGGCCCAGGACTGCTGCTTCCCTGGGATGTACATCCTGCCCACGGGAAGCTGATGTATCCTTTGGCCCTTGCTCTTGTCCTTTATCTCATTCCCTTCAGAAGTTGCCCTCTAGGGAGTATAAACTACTTGATTCTTTCTTGCTATTCCAGATTTACCCTCCTAACTGTAAGTGGCTTTCTAATCATTAGATCTTATATGTAATACATTCCACTCCCTCTTGTCTGCAGCTCTCTTTCCTTTAGTTACCATGATATTCCTTTCCTTCTGATTGTCCTGTTTTCTGCACAGTTTTTACCAGGTTCCATTCTAGGTTTCCTGATTCTGATTTTCATTTCCTCAGGGCGTTACCTCTGGTCCTCTTATCTTTTCTTTGTCCACTTTGGTTCCTTTCACATTTCTCATGGGGGATGGGAGCCCTTTCATGTTAGAATATCCCCAGTATTCTGATGCTCTGCTGTCTTTGCAAGAGCAGCTATAATCAAACTCTGTAAAAGATGCTAAACCTCAACAAACCAGAAACTGATCTC